GTCAGTCATAACATCACTTGTTTGTTATTCTGTCTCCATGGTGACTGTTGTCAGTCATGATATCACTTGTTTGTAACTCTGTCTCCAGGGTGACTGTTGTCAGTCATGATATCACTTGTTTGTAACTCTGTCTCCATGGTGACTGTTGTCAGTCATGATATCACTTGTTTGTTATTTTGTCTCCAGGGTGATTGTTGTCAGTCATGATATCACTTATTCTGTCTCCATGGTGACTGTTGTCGGTCATGACATCACTTGTTTGTTATTCTGTCTCCAGGGTGATTGTTGTCAGTCATGATATCACTTATTCTGTCTCCATGGTGACTGTTGTCAGTCATGATATCACTTGTTTGTTATTCTGTCTCCAGGGTGACTGTTGTCGGTCATGATATCACTTATTCTGTCTCCAGGGTGACTGTGGTCAGCCATTGCTTAACTTGTTTGTTATTCTGTCTCCAGGGTGACTGTTGTCAGCCATTGCTTAACTTGTTTGTTATTCTGTCTCCAGGGTGACTGTTGTCAGCCTCTGCTTAACTTGTTTGTTATTCTGTCTCCAGGGTGACTGTGGCTAAACCAGCCCCACCGGATGCTCCTCTCAAACCAATGGACGTGTCAGGTGAGTGGTTTATTTGCGACAGAGTTATCTCCCATGTAGTACAAGTTAATTGTGTCAACTCTTAATATTGATGATTTTTTTATATGTAGTGCGCCAGGTTCTTATGAAATCTTAATCTACCTATTAATTTTACCGAATTGAATTTTGTTAAAACCAGTTTTTAATTTCGTTCCAATTTCAGACAAATCACCAAGATTTTTTGAACAAAAAATTAAAAAAAAACTCTATCTGTATGTTTACAAACTTAATTCTTTCTTCCTTGAAAATGGGAATGGGAACAGATTATTTTTCTTCATTTATCAACATTAACATGTGAAAGGATGTAATTAAATTGACTTCAGGTTTTGCCGGGCCGAGGTATGACGCGTCCGGAAATGTAATCCATCACAGTATCCTTGGGAATTATGATGATTTCCATAAAGAGGCTCTACAAAGAGGCGACCTTTTGGTGAGTGTTAGAATCATTTAACTGAAGACTGGAGCATATGTCAGTATGTAAATTAATTTTTGTCATTTCAGTATGATAGAATTTCCATGTGAGCATGAATGATCAAAACTTCTTTTCAGTATTTTTCATTTCTGTTGTCTGGTTTTTAGGCTAAAAGTACTCAGTACGCATAGCCTATTGCGACAGTCTTTCAGACAAAATTTAGCGATCCTGGCCTTCTCATTGGCTGAAATATCAAAAAGAGTTAGAGTCCTCTAGCGGCAATTTTCTGCGTAAATAATGCCGTGATTTTTCAAATCGCTATTTTAAAAGCATCCACAATTAGTTTATTTTTTTAATAACAATACGATTACTATATATTTAAAAGAAGAAGCGCAGTGTGATTGAACCATTGATAAATTTTGAACAATATATTTTACGGAATTTTCGACATGACGTATGCGTACAGAACACTCTACGTGCGAGTTGGCGCAATGATAAGAAGCTAGTTTGGGGGCTTGGTTTGAATTATCAACTAACAGCACTTATAAACAAACAAAACTTACAAACAGAACATCAATTTTGCTTTAATCCTTGTCGTTGTGGCAAGATCATCTTAATATATAACACCACTTTACCTCATTAGACGTCACAAAATTGGACTGTTCGTCCTACGCGCACACCCGCCGATATGACACTTTTTCAAGTTTTTGAAGATAAAAAGTTTGCGCTTCATAGGCAAGGTACATTTGGTGCTCATGATTTATGAATGATATATTTTTAATACTGTACTGATCATGATGTTGACTCTGTTATAACTCATATTTTTTAGTTTTGTTTGATGAAGGTTGATTGTGCTGATTTCTCAAGGTTAATGTGTATCAAAAATCCTTGTTTAGGACCTACCAGCCCCTAAAGACCCAGGGTTCCAAACATCAACTCCTACCGTGAAGTATGAGCGAAAGAAACGGGTTACCCCAATACACGCTGAAAGCAAAGCACTAGAGAACTGGCAGCAGAAAATGCGGGAAAGGAAAAAACAACAGGGATACATCTCAAGTAATAATTCTCATTAACTCAGGAACAGTTATCTCCCCTTGAAAATAATTATTCAATTTCTAAATTCATTGTTTGTACCAACAAAATTAAGGAAGAGGATTGTCTCCCCTGAATTAATAATCAATATGTTACTTCTTCATTATTTTTTAATTATTAGCTGCTAGTTTTCAGGATTTTTACAAAGAGTTCACTTCATACATAAAAAATTCTAAGAAATTCCAAATGTATTTAGTGTACATGTTAAAAGGAGAATTGAAAATATTTTGTTTTTGTCTTTTTGAGGGAAAAAAATAATTTGTATAACACAATACATATTCTGTTATTTATATGTATTTTAAATATGGTCTATTGTAAATCATTGAAAACATCAAGAATATGTCAATGCTTTATCTGGTAATGTTTCTAACAGGTTACAGGAAAGAAGATTAAACATTCTGTCACATTATCTCCCTTTTCTCTATTCCTATGCACTATTGTCAGACAAATTTGTTTGAATTCAAAAAAATTTTGATTCTATGTATAATTTAAGTTACCACTGTTTTCTGAGATTAATAGTTTTCAGGGTTTTCCATAATTTTGTTAGTAGTAGGCTGTGTAGTGAAAGTAGGAGGCTGGCCTGCCGTGTACGTGTAGTAGTGTACGGAACATTATTACGGAACTGGATTGGTGTAGGCGGCCAAATGATCAAAGTAGCCAGTCAAATTGGCCGGCAACCGGCTCTTATGGAAAACCCTGAGTTTTATTCACAACTAGTTTACAATTTCTGCCTTCAGTATTAAAAACATTATCGTGATCTCTGAGATTAGTGTCTAGCTTTTAACACAGTGATACCACCTTATGACAACCAAGAATATTTTGCTTTAGTCATTTTTCTAATGAAAAAAAAAAAAATCAAAATCTAACTTTTTGCATTTGCTTAAATTTTGAAATTATTGTAGCATAATTTCATTTTTTTTTTCAGGCCTTCTGCGGAAAAATCCGGAGGATTTAGCCATGAATGCTGCAGATAATTACCGTAAAATCCTAGAAGATAGATATATCATTGACAGAACCATTCCGGCCCTGGACTACGGGAAGGGTTGTAAGTATTCATGCATATATATTAACCCTTTTACTGGACTAAATGATAATGTATGTGTGTACGGCTCATATCCGTTGACTAGAATATCAGGTTAGTATAGACATACAGAATATAAGTAAAGTGTATATTTTGATTACTATACCGTCTCTGTCTTCAGTTTCTTTTCTTTCTCTTTTGTATTTTTTTTTTTCAGGACTCAAAAAAAAAATTTTTGACAAAGACCTAGATACATTTATTAAATTACAAGATTGATCCTCTCACATGGAGGCTGTCATTCTCCACACTCATCATTCACACTGTCACAGGAGGGCTCTCATTCTCCACACTCATCATTCACACTGTCACAGGAGGGCTCTCCTTCTCCACACTCATCATTTACACTGTCACAGAAGGGCTCTCATTCTCCACACTCATTATTCACACTGTCACAGGAGGGCTCTCATTCTCCACACTCATCATTCACACTGTCACAGGAGGGCTCTCATTCTCCACACTCATCATTCACACTGTCACAGGAGGGCTCTCATTCTCCACACACATCATTCACACTGTCACATGAGGACTCTCATTCTCCACACTCATCATTCACACTGTCACAGGAGGGCTCTCATTCTCCACACTCATCATTCACACTGTCACAGGAGGGCTGTCATTCTCCACACACATTATTCACACTGTCACAGGAGGGCTCTCATTCTCCACACTCATCATTCACACTGTCACAGGAGGGCTGTCATTCTCCACACACATTATTCACACTGTCACAGGAGGGCTCTCATTCTCAACACCCATCAATCACACTGTCACATGAGGGCTCTCATTCTCCACACTCATCATTCACACTGTCACAGGAGGGCTCTCATTCTCAACACCCATCAATCACATGGTCCATACTTTCAAGTTAAATGTACATACTTCTTTAAACAGCAACATCATTCTTTAATTCCTCTTACAATTACACAAACAATGTTACATTCAATCTAATATATATACACAGTGACTGTCTATCTGTATACCTTACATGTTATATATGTATATATCTGACACAACATAGCTACCTTACATCTGTCAGGCTAATTACTAATGAGAAAAATATTTGCACTGATAATTACAGTGTACTAGACATAAATAATCAACTTTTTTTTAATCTCGTAATCGAAGGTACACTAAGCTTCAAAATAGTGAGATGAAATTCTGATTAGTGTAAAAACAGGTGAAATTAGCGATTTTCGGTACGCGTTGAAGTAGTGTAATATCCCATTTTTAAAAGATGATTGGTATTTTTTTGAAAACCTGGTCTGAGATGTAAGAGAGAGACCATGTTAAATTCTTATTTGAAAATTTTCACAAATCGTTGACGATATCTAACCAGCTTTTAAACAACCAGGAGCAATCTGAAAGGATTTTAACAATTTAATTGTGAATTATAGATCGAGTTGGCAGTGAGTTCTGGAAGCAACAAGAGAGATTTGGAGATGATGTAACTGGTATACAGTAAGTAGGGTGATCTAACACAAATTAAAGTTAAAAATAATTGTTTCTATAATTTACTGAAAGGTCAAGGGAGGTAATCCATGGTTAAAACATGAAATCAATACATTGTGCTTACCGAGTAACTATAAAAATGAGATATCAGATTAGACAACAGATAATATCTGAGTTGTTAAGCACTGATAAATAAAGTGAAATTATCTTGGATGCCAGGAAAAAATATGAGTATGAAGCAATTGCCATATTTTCTTCACAAAAGATTCAGGTGATTTCAATATTTAAATCTTACATTTGAATTTACCTCATTCAGTCTACAGTCAACAGCATGGTCCTCATAGTTATAGGAACCTGTTTGTCATTGCTTAATCTTTGACTTTGGACTGTTTTAGTATGACCTTGACCCAGTCAGAGAGAGGCTATCCACGCCCCATAGAACATATTGGAATTCCCCAGGGAGTGAGAAGTGAAAAGGGATGGTACTGGTCCCCTACTCACACGACACCTGTCCACTACCCATGGCACAAGGCCCAGTACCTGTCAGAGAGAAAAAGTCAGCTCCAACCCATTATAGACGAGCTTGACCCTCATCAACCGGTAAATATATCTATCCAGTCTGGGTTTTCACATTTATCGTGACATATTCTGATTCTCATTAGTAGCCTTTTTCAGCTCTGTAAGTGCTCCTTATCACTGTTGAGTCCAAGAGGGATGAACAGCTGGCTGTATGTTACAGATACTATTATTTTATTCTAAATTTGTATTAAAAGGTGTTTTTTATTGGTATCTGTTTTGTACAAGTCTTACTAGGCTTACTCTGTCTTTATCTTTCCTCATCTTCTCTCCTTCCCTTAATACGATCCTCATCAACCTGTCAGTGTACATAACTTTCATCTTCTCCTTCATTTTTTCCTTCCTTACCTTCCCTCTTCTGTCCTTCCCTTTATCCTTCTTTACCTTCGCTCTTTCCCTTTATCCTTCTTTACCTTCCCTCTTCCGTCCTTCCTTTTTTCCTTCCTTACCTTCCCTCTTCCCTCTTTCCCTTTATCCTTCTTTACCTTCCCTCCTTCCCTTTATCCTTCTTTACCTTCCCTCTTCCGTCCTTCCTTTTTTCCTTCCTTACCTTCCCTCTTCCCTCCTTCCCTTTATCCTTCTTTACCTTCCCTCTTCCGTCCTTCCTTTTTTCCTTCCTTACCTTCCCTCTTTCCCTTTATCCTTCTTTACATTCCCTCTTTCCCTTTATCCTTCTTTACCTTCCCTCCTTCCCTTTCCTTGATCCTTATCAACCTGTAAGTGATAATAACCTACATCCTCTCCTTCCCTTTCTCTCTTCTTATCTCTCCCTCCTCCCTGCTTGAATCCCTCCCCTCAACCCTCTGGTGATATTAAGTTTTCATTCTTACATTCTTACAATTTCAGAATTTCATTTATATCAAAATTCACATCTTTTTTTGTCGTGGCAGGAATTTGATGGACTTGAGGTGGTTGGGACAAACCAGCCACATGTTCGCCCTGAGCGTGAAGTGACTGATCTCGAGTTCACAGATGTCTTAGAGAAGTTCCCTGAGGAAGATGATGAAAACCAGGAGAATCTGTAAGTTTTTTACATAACATCAGTGTATATCTTACTGTGACCTGGGGGAGTCAGCATTGGCCTCAGAGCCGAGGGGAAGGCTACAGGGGTCAATACATTACCACAGACTCTGAGTCAAGGTAGGGCTTATTACAGGACCCAGGAGTCAACACATTACCTCAGACTCTGGGGGAGGGTTTATTACAGGACCCAGGAGTCAACACATTACCTCAGACTCTGGGGGAGGGCTTATTACAGGACACCAGGAGTCAACACATTACCTCAGACTTTGAGTCAAGGTAGGGCTTATTACAAGACCCCAGGAGTCAACACATTACCTCAGACTTTGAGTCAAGGTAGGGCTTATTACAGGACCCCAGGAGTCAACACATTACCTCAGACTTTGATTAGGGCTTATTACAGGACCCAGGAGTCAACACATTACCTCAGACTCTGGGGGAGGGTTTATTACAGGACCCCAGGAGTCAACACATTACCTCAGACTTTGAGTCAAGGTAGGGCTTATTACAGGACCCCAGGAGTCAACACATTACCTCAGACTCTGGGGGAGGGCTTATTACAGGACCCCAGGAGTCAACACATTACCTCAGACTTTGAGTCAGGGGAGGGCTTATTACAGGACCCCAGGAGTCAACACATTACCTCAGACTTTGAGTCAAGGTAGGGCTTATTACAGGACCCCAGGAGTCAACACATTACCTCAGACTCTGGGGGAGGGCTTATTACCGGACCCAGGAGTCAACACATTACCTCAGACTCTGGGGGAGGGTTTATTACAGGACCCAGGAGTCAACACATTACCTCAGACTCTGGGGGAGGGTTTATTACAGGACCCAGGAGTCAACACATTACCTCAGACTCTGGGGGAGGGCTTATTACAGGACCCAGGAGTCAACACATTACCTCAGACTCTGGGGGAGGGTTTATTACAGGACCCAGGAGTCAACACATTACCTCAGACTCTGGGGGAGGGCTTATTACAGGACCCAGGAGTCAACACATTACCTCAGACTCTGGGGGAGGGCTTATTACAGGACCCAGGAGTCAACACATTACCTCAGACTCTGGGGAGGGCTTATTACAGGACCCAGGAGTCAACACATTACCTCAGACTCTGGGGGAGGGTTTATTACAGGACCCAGGAGTCAACACATTACCTCAGACTGTGGGGGAGGGTTTATTACAGGACCCAGGAGTCAACACATTACCTCAGACTCTGGGGGAGGGCTTATTACCGGACCCAGGAGTCAACACATTACCTCAGACTGTGGGGGAGGGTTTATTACAGGACCCAGGAGTCAACACATTACCTCAGACTTGGGGGAGGGTTTATTACAGGACCCAGGAGTCAACACATTACCTCAGACTGTGGGGGAGGGTTTATTACAGGACCCAGGAGTCAACACATTACCTCAGACTCTGGGGGAGGGCTTATTACAGGACCTCAGGAGTCAACACATTACCTCAGACTGTGGGGGAGGGTTTATTACAGGACCTCGGGAGTCAACACATTACCTCAGACTCTGGGGGAGGGTTTATTACAGGACCCAGGAGTCAACACATTACCTCAGACTGTGGGGGAGGGTTTATTACACCAACTTTCTTTCAGATGTGATTGAAACAGAATGCTAAAGAAAAATTGCCGCAAATTAAAACATAGACAATGAACTCCGATTATCACAATCAACATTGGTTACTTTATTATCAATTCTGTTTACCTTATCTTCAGATTCCCTGAAATAACATGTACAGCTATAACAGTGACGGTCGATGTCAAGGAATTCAAATTTTCTTGTGTGTTTGAATCTGAGAAGTTTGTGTTAAATAGGAGAGAATTTATCCTATATGATAGATTCAAAGTGTTATAAACAATATGTGATGTAAATAGGCTCGCTAGACTGAGCATTTTTCCCGGTTCTGTGGAGAGAGTACTCAAGACAACATTTTTTTGATAACTATTTCAATGAGCATTTTGGCTTGGATGGTTTAGCTCTTTTGTGATGCTGCAATATGTATTGATCTAAAATTCCGCATAAACTGTTTTCCTTCAGTTTCTTACATTAGTGAGACTGAGAATGAAATAAAAATCTCGAAACAATTCAGGCTCAGATTTTGTGAAAGTAATAAAAAATTGCCACAAACTTGTTACACAGTTTGTTTATTACTGAAGTATGTAGTTAGGAAAGAAAATTTGTTAACATGTGGTAATATTTGTTTTTAATTTTTAATGAACAGGAATACATCTGTGTTGATTTGATACTGGTTAGATGTGGTTCTATCTTTAAGATTGAGTTTTATATCATGAGGACGGGATTCTCAATCTACTGAGCAATACTTTTTTTGTTACACTTTCTTTGTACTACGGGGTAAATGACACCACACATTAGCTGAAAATTTAAACATCTTTTGGCCTCAACATGAGACATTAGACAAAGAGTTTGTTGATCAAGTCAAAGCAGGTTCTTCCTTGGTCAGGGTTTTTCATAATTTTGTTAGTAGTAGGCTGTGTAGTGAAAGTAGGAGGCTGTCCTGCCGTGTACGTGTAGTCGTGTACGGAACATTATTACGGAACTGGATTGGTGTAGGCGGCCAAATGATCAAAGTAGCCGGTCAAATTGGCCGGCGACTGGCTCTTATGGAATACCCTGTAGGTATAATCAGAAACATTTTATCATAATTTTTTTTTCAAACATTAGCAAGATCATAGCAATGATGATTTACAGACAATTCAAGGGAGGTAAATCTTCCAAAATTCACCATAATATTGGATATCTCCAGAGATCCTCTTAAGGACCACCCAGATGTCCACCCTGAACCAATCTTTGGACCATCCATCAACTTTGCTGGTCAGCCAGCCCGCTGGACTGGCGATGGCTACAGCTTCCAGGAACAGGTTGGGATTGAGGCCCGTGTCACGTTTGAAGCCTTTGCCAAGGACAGAGTGACATCCTATCTGTACATTGTCAATGACGGAACCACAGCCGTGTACTATGATTGGAAGGTAGACCATCTCATTTTATGTGTAATGTTCAATATCAGAATCAACACAAGTAAATTATTGACCAAGAAAGTACAGATTAAAGAAAAGAAGTGTGATGAAAATGCTATTGTCTTGTTTGATGAAATTTATATTAGATATAAATAATATTCCACTATTTACATTTCTTATTTCTGTATAAGAACTATTTTTCTTATTTGTTTTTGCGATGACTTTTTTTTTTTGAGGTCTGGAAAATAAGATTTTATCATTTATCATCAAGATATATGAAATACAAAATTCACACAAAAATCCATTGGGGTCTTGTTAATCAGTAGGTAGCCCTAAAATAGTTGATAAAAAGAAACCTTTTTAAATGTATTTGGGAAAGGATGAACATTTTATTTTTTAATTTTTTTACCAGAAAGTGCCAAAGGATAATCCATTTGACCTGGTTCATCAAAATGTCCAGCGATTCTACTTCAACAACAGCAGTGGTAGGATTAAGTTCCATCTCTAAACTAAATATATCTTTGTTTTGGAAATGACAAATTTTACAATATGAAGAAATTTTCTTTGTTAAGAGAATGCCTCCATTCTGAGATTACCTCTGGTTTTACTCTTCATCTTTTTATCTAATTTTGTTTTCAAATTCTTCTTCAATTTATTTGAAATTTCATCTCTATTTGAAGACCACTTAATTGAAACTCATCAGTACTGTTCATTTCATCTTGTCTAACCCTGTATAAAGTAATCATCTGCACCTGATGTTATTTTCAAATGCTTTAGATCTTTGAATACAAGGAAATTATGTCTTTTCTGTGACAGGTGTGATTCTGCCCGGAGAAACTATGAAATTTCCATTCGTGTTTAAATCGCCCAGTGCAGGAGTTTTCCATGAGCAATGGAGGTTTGAAACACGTCCGACTCTGTGTGGTGGCGCCGCCCTCATTATCACTCTCCGTGGTATCGCCCTGCAGGAGGATAAGTTCTTAAAGGAACGCGAGGAACTGGAGGTGAGATATCCTGTTTAAATTTGATTCCATTTAACATAGTGTAAGGTGTCACTCTATTTTTTCCAGAAATACTTCAATATTTTGTGTAGAACAGAAGTTTGATATGATTTTTCTACTTTGAAATGATCTGTAATTGCAGATACATTGAGCATGTTTTTGTTCATTATGATGATCCGACTTAATAAATATCAAAAACATGCAGAACACCAAGAAGATCAGAGCAAAAGTATTGTCACTACCAGATCAATAGATTGGTGCTTACAGATCATTCCACACAGCAAAATCATATCACTGATAGGAAAAATTTCAAAATAGTTGACATATTTTCAACCAAGTGTTAAACAATGGGTAGTTGAATTGACAACAGTACATTGTTACTATCTTGTATATGTTTTTTTCTTTAATCTGTTTACCATTTTGTCACACAATTTTCTATCTTAGTGTAAATAGGATTAAAGCACAGCCAAAAATTGTAGTCAACTCCTTCATCTCATACACTATGTACGTCAGTGCAATGTTTTGGAACTTTTAGGTTTGAAGTTGAAGTTGTAGGAAATATTTGTATTTCCACAGAGTTCTTCTTAAAAATTAAAAAAAAAATTATAAGTGAAAATAAAAGTGTTTTTCTTGATTTTTGATATTTTTTAGAGAGAACTACAGAAGAAACAGGCAGAACAAATGGTGAGACAAGTTATGTTTGACATCATCAGTGGTATCAAAACTCCAGACCGACCAAGTTCTCCCGTCGACAATTATATTACAGAAGAGGAAATATTTGCACGAAACAACCCCAAGGTATATTCACACAATCTCATATCTTAATTCTGTGTCATTGAAAATATTCTCTTCATCTTATATTCTAATTCTGTTGTCATTGAAAATATGCACTTTATCTCATATTCTTATTCTGTGGTCAGTGAAAATATGCAATTTATCTCATATTCTTATTCTGTTGTCAGTGAAAATATGCACTTTATCTCATATTCTAATTCTGTTGTCTGAAAATATTCACATTTTAGTTCTGTTGTCATTGAAAATGTTCACTTTATCTCCTATCTTAACTGTTGTCAGTGATATAAAACTCATTTCTTTAATGTTCTCCATTCAATAACACATTTATGACGAATGGATGAAAGTTCTCTTTCTTTTAATTGTGATGTCAAATGCTGTAACGAATCTACACTTAAATATGACTTATTGTTACAGCTCCACTACAACTTTGCCTTGGTGCAGCAGCTGAAGCAGATTCACCTAGAGATGGTACCTGAGGAGGAGAGAGAGGGACGTATCTGGGACCTGTCGGTTGAGTACCTGAAGGAGGTAACACTTTACTGTATAGGGTCTTGTGTCTGGCCTTAAATCAGACTTAGATTGTCTTGAAATAAATGATGCAGTGCTGCCTTATATGGTCAATTGTAGATTGCCTCAAAAGAGATAATGCAGTACTGCCTAATATGGTCGATTAAAAATTGCTTCATTGGAGATAATGCAGTGCTGTCTTATAATTTCAATTGTAGATTGTCTCAAAGGAGATAATGCACTATTGCCTTATATGGTCAATTAAAAAAAATCGCCTCATTGGAGATAATGCAGTGCTGCCTTATATGGTCAATTGTAGATTGTCTCAAAGGAGATAATGCACTATTGCCTTATATGGTCAATTAAAAAATCGCCTCATTGGAGATAATGCAGTGCTGCCTTATATGGTCAATTGTAGATTGCCCCAAAGGAGATAATGCATTATTGCCTTATATGGTCAATTAAAAAATCGCCTCATTGGAGATAATGCAGTGCTGCCTTATATGGTCAATTGTAGATTGCCTCGAAAAAGATAATGCAGTACTGCTTTATTTGACTAATTTTCAGCAGATTGCCTTCAGACAAGTCTAATATACAATGCTGCCATGCCTGTTTAATTATTTGTTTGTTGAGCGCCTCTAAACAATGCATTGAAATGGTAGCATTTGGTTAACACGATTAAATCATGTACCATTTTAGGACCTGTTAGACATGGATGAAGACGACGAAAGAAAGGAAAATTTCCTTCACCAGCTTAATACCAGTGTTTCCAAGATGGCTTACACTCCACACATCCCCCTCAAGAAAAATCTATACAAAGTTGGGTAAGTGGTATGGCCATATTTGGTATGGTGAAGCCAGTCGTATTGAAACTGGAGATTACCCAAACTAGACCTTTAATTTGGGTCTGTGGGCGGAAAAATCATTATTGATATCTTACATAGTATTACAAGTTCTTAAAAAAAACCTTTACAGGTGTTTCTTTACAGTATTTATCACTTTCATGCTTTAATAAATGACAATAATTATGATATACAATGTACATTATGATATTTGACCATTTCCAACAATTTTGTGGAGACGAATATGCTTAACAATACTTTAAAACACAGAAAACATAGACTCTACAGATCTTAAAATATATTGCGATAGAAAAAAAAACAAATCAAAAAACAACAAAATAAATAAATGAATAATTAAAAAAAATCAAAGTCTAAAATTTAAAATCTCAATACTCTGATATGGATTTTTCAGCTTACAGATCTAATGCATTTACAACCCCCTCTCCATCAAGTTATTAGATTTAACCTGAAACTTTTAAAAAAAAGTTGGTGTCTTCATCCACTGTGTTGATGTAACTCTATTGTCTTTGTTTACATTTTTCGTTGTCAACTTCTCAATGAGAGATGCTGCTGTATCATTGCAAAAGCTGCGAATGCCATTTAATGTTATGACGCTCCCTCCGTTTTAAAGGGGGATGAGGGAGAGTGGTGGGCAGATACTGTTACTTACGTCAATCTCTTGCAGACTTGTTCTCAATCAGTTTCAGATATCTTCAGGTTTATTTCATATTTGTTTCTGTTAGTATCATAACATCATCTTCTGAGTAAGTAAGGTACAAACTCAGTTTTTTAAGGTGTGGGTTGATGTAGGTGAAAATTTGAGATACAATAAGACACTGAGGTCTATTGTATCACTGGACTAGGCACTTTACCCTAGTTGTCCTTGATGGCATGGGACAGACCTCCTGTATGTTGTTCAGTGAGGTAGGCATCAGCCACAACAAGGGAATGATTAACCCAGCAAAATAAAAAAAAACAAAAATTTACACATTACATTCTTGTTGGTGTAGGAGGGGACTATTGATGTCTTAATGATATTTCAAAGTTTAGTAACAGCATTTCAGCTAAGATTAATTTATGTCAGTATTTAACAGATAAAGCATTATTCTTTATATTTGCATGACAGGTATCAACTTCTTCTGGAGGCTGTAGACAAGATGGTCGGTCAATCTATGCAGATAAGGCATGTGATGGGTCTACCTGAACGGGAACTGATTGTCCTACCTGAGGATCTTAGTAAGTCTTACTTTAGGGACAGAGCAGGGGAGATTAATAGGGATGAACTAGGGAGCTGTACAGGAATAGCTGTGTAATAGTCTTACCTGTAAAAAAAATCGTTAACAGTTAAGGGAGACATGATATATTACCTGGAGAGTCTTACCTGTTGAAAAATCGTTAAAAGGTAAGGGAGACTTGGTATGTTACCTGGAGAGTCTTACCTGTAAAGGAATCGTTAACTGGTAAGGGAGACTTGGTATGTTACCTAGAGAGACTTACCTGTAAAAGAATCGTTAAAAGGTAAGGGAGACTTGGTATATTACCTGGAGAGTCTTACCTGTAAAAGAATCGTTAACAGGTAAGGAAGACTTGGTATGTTACCTGGAGAGTCTTACCTGTAAAAAAATCGTTAACAGGTAAGGGAGACTTGGTATATTACCTGGAGAGTCTTACCTGTAAAAGAATCGTTAACAGGTAAGGAAGACTTGGTATGTTACCTGGAGAGTGTTACCTTTAAAAGAATTGTTAACAAGTAAGGGAGACTTGGTATGTTACCTGGAGAGTGTTACCTGTTAAAAAAATCGTTAACAGTTAAGGGAGACTTGGTATGTTACCTAGAGAGTCTTACCTGTTGAAAAATCGTTAACAGGTAAGGAAGACTTGGTATGTTACCTAGAGAGACTTACCTGTAAAAGAATTGTTAACAGGTAAGGGAGACTTGGTATGTTACCTGGAGAGTCTTACCTGTTAAAAAAATCGTTAACAGGTAAGGGAGACTTGGTATGTTACCTGGAGAGTCTTACCTGTTGAAAAATCGTTAACAGGTAAGGGAGACTTGGTATGTTACCTGGAGAGTCTTACCTATAAAAGAATTGTTAACAGGTAAGGGAGACTTGGTATGTTACCTGGAGAGTCTTACCTTTAAAAGAATTGTTAACAAGTAAGGGAGACTTGGTATGTTACCTGGAGAGTCTTACCTGTTAAAAAAATTGTTAACAGTTAAGGGAGACTTGGTATGTTACCTAGAGAGTCTTACCTGTTGAAAAATCGTTAACAGGTAAGGGAGACTTGGTATGTTACCTGGAGAGTGTTACCTATAAAAGAATTGTTAACAGGTAAGGGAGACTTGGTATGTTACCTGGAGAGTGTTACCTATAAAAGAATTGTTAACAGGTAAGGGCGTTTTGGTATATTACCTGGAGAGTCTTACCTATAAAAGAATCGTTAACAGGTAAGGAAGACTGTGGTCCACCTCAGTCTGAATACTCTCACATTTTCCCCTTGATCGTATGCACTGCTGATATAATTAACCAATAATATACATTTTATATATCACTTACCAGTTTCTTCAGGAAGGCATGTAATCTGTTTTATCTGTAGGAATTTTTATCCTGTTCCAGTAAATTCACACTTTCTGAGTGAAGTTTTCCCTATCTACCCTGGTATATGATGTCACAACTATTTATTTTTCTTGTTATAATGTAACAAGGAATAATTCTCGACCTATTACAAAACACAATGTTTATCCTTACTAATCATATATTGTCACTGAAAAAAAAATATAATGTGTTTGATATCCAGACTGACATACAGTAGCTAGGTAGGACATCTAAGCATGATTTTTCTGAATTTTACACAATGGCAATTTTCTTGAGATTCTCCATGAAATTTGTATTTATCATCATGTTGTTAAAATATGGCCGATTTTAGTCCTAAATTTTAAGATGATATGACGAATCCATGTTTTATGTATTTCATCTGAAAATCAACTGTTCACAGTAATAATATTGTCTGAAATATGATTGTGCTATTCTTTAATATTAAACCCAAACAGCTTTGACAGAGAGGTCATCATCCCACCTCACCAATCCAATTGAAGGTACAAGGCTAGGTTTGCATGGCACTAGTTATCTCCCCTTTCTGGTTTTGTAGATATTTCCTCTCTCATTTCTGTTCATTTGGACTATAAAAAGTCAATCTTTTAGAGCATGTTTCTTTCCTAGTCTCTTTGACTGGTGGATGGGTGAATTAATTTTCTCTATAATAAATAGGTGGCATGTTTCTGTGAATGTCTAACTGTAGAATCGTCTCCCTTTGTGGGTGTACTCTAAGCTGTAAAATGTTTGCCAAGCTATGTTTTACCTTCAACAAAGCACTAAGTGAGGGTAGATGAGGCACAGTTTGATACAATGGTGGATGTATTTATAACTTTATAGATTTACTTGAAATGGATGGAATATGAAAATTAGATGTGGCAATGCAATTGCAGTTTAGGCAGTATATATAATGTATACTTATTTAAATATGTTAGTAATACATTATTTGGTATTATATGTTTATCTGTGTTATTTTGCTTCCTGAAAATTTTCAGGGTAGCATATAGTTCCCACTTCGTCCGTCCGTCTGTCTGTCATTCTGTCTGCATAATTTTGCCCACAGTAAAGCAAGGACTAAGAAATTTAGTGTATACTTTGGTCATACTAAAGCAAATTCAGGCCTGCAACCTCTCAATTACAGAGTTATTGCCCTTTGTTAAAATTTCTTGTCCAGAGAATAACTTGGCATTCATTTAAACCTGGAAAATAAAACTGGGTGTATACATTTGTGATACTAAGAGGTTGTGCAATTTACCAAACTCAGTGCCTGAAACTTGCACATTAACAGAGTTATTGCCCATTGTTAAAATTTTGAGTCCAAGAACATTGTTTTCATGGAGCATTGTTCACTTTCACTGATACTGTTGTTAAGTAGAGTTATTGCCCTTAGAATGGTAATTCTTCTGTAAGATTTTCTTATTTTAGTGGTTGTTAAATGATCTGACTACTGCAATACGATATGAAAATACTAAGATCAATGTTGCTAGACTGTAGAAATGTTGCATGTTTTTTGTTTCAGAGTTTTTAAAGATGACAAAAAAATCAAAGATTTGTATAGTATTAGTATATTCAGATGATTCAAATACATCACTCTGATGTAGTATTGTTAGTTAAGGGAGAGGTAAATTTAATGAAAATGTATGTAAGTCTTTTAAAACCAAAACAGTTGTCTAACTGCATGAATTCATATAAGTTACGTCTCTATGATATATGCCACAAATAGCTGTGGATTTACATGTAAAGAGCCATTTTTACATCAAACTTATGTAAAAAAACAATAGTGATTACATCAAAGTTATGTAAAAAACAATAGTGATTACATCAAACTTATGTAAAAACCAATAGTGATTACATCAAACTTATGTAAAAAAAACAATAGTGATTACATCAAAGTTATGTAAAAACCAATAGTGATTACATCAAAGTTATGTAAAAAACAATAGTGATTACATCAAAGTTATGTAAAAACCAATAGTGATTACATCAAACTTATGTAAAAACCAATAGTGATTACATCAAACTTATGTAAAAACCAATAGTGATTACATCAAACTTATGTAAAAAAACAATAGTGATTACATCAAACTTATGTAAAAAAACAATAGTGATTACATCAAACTTATGTAAAAACCAATAGTGATTACATCAAAGTTATGTAAAAACCAATAGTGATTACATCAAACTTATGTAAAAACCAATAGTGATTACATCAAACTTATGTAAAAAGCAATAGTGATTACATCAAACTTATGTAAAAAACAATAGTGATTCAAATACTTTCAGTACTGTTGTCATTGATGCATCCTCTGCTTACTCCAAAGATACAGATATATAAAGGTGATTCAAGCATTTTGGTCCCTTTTCTGGGGGTTTTAGATAAAGTTTGTTTCATCCTGTCTGTCTGGTCCAAGTACAGTACAGTCTGTACCTTTGCCATCCATTCTTTAAAGTGCTCATCTGTGTGTACATCCAAGTAGAGCTGTTGTCAGCATGATTGATATTATCATCATACCCTTGTCATCTTATGTCTGTCCGTCCATCTATCCATCTGTCTCTCCTTTCGTTTGTCCTTCCGTTCATTTCTTTATTGTCTTGTTGTGTCCAGCTGTGACGTCCCGTTCCAAAAAAGACAAATTTACCCCTTTGCATCACAACACCAAATTCTTCAGCTGATCAGATTATGGATTGCATAGAAATAGAGGCACATTTATTTAAGATGTTTTCTAGTTTCACTTCATGATAAAAAAAAAACCAATATAGTTGTTAAGTGTATGATAGGTCAAAGTTCAAGGTCACTTATGGTAACTTGAATCCAAGTGAATGAGAAGCTTCCTGTGTGAGGTTATGTAAGTACAGTTGCCGTACCTAGGGCTCTGACCCTGACAATAATTCCCATTTTGTAGGATGAAGCTGTTTCTGGTGTTCATCCTAGTGAATAGCTTATAACAGTGTACAAAAAATATGGCTATCTTACTATCAAAACAAATTTAGCAATCTCTGATTTGGTAGTGAGTGTTACATCCTGTCCTGAAGTGAATTCTAAAGAGAAAACAAGAAAAACTGATAAATCAAAGTATGACAGTAAAATGTGTTACTTATCTGTGATTCATTTATCAAATAGCTGGCAAAGCATCTTAGTGAGCCTTAAAAGACATCAAGGTCACAGCAAGGAAACATTATCTACTGAATGTACTTTCAAACCTGGTGAGAAGTTTGTCTCATAAACATAGTTACTATCATACCAATATAGATTGGTAAATTGTCTACCTAAACAGAAATTACTCAAAAAACGTTTGTTTTTTTTTGTAGGCGATTCAAGGAGCAAATCCAAGGCAGAAAACAAAGTGAAGGCTCCACCAGAGAAGGGAGGCAAAGCACCGGCCAAAAAGGATGAGAAGGGGGCCAAGGGTAAAGAGGTAAGTGGTCAAGGGTGAGGAGGTCAGGGGTGAAGGGTAAAGAGATAAGTGTTCAAGGGTGAAGAGGTCAAGGGTGAAGAGGTCAAGGGTAAAGAGATAAGTGGTCAAGGGTGAAGAGGTAAGTGGTCAAGAGTGAAGAGGTAAGTTGTGAAGGGTGAAGCTGTGAGAGGTCAAGGGTGAAGAGGTAAGTGGTCAAGGGTGAAGAGGTAAGTGGTCAAGAGTGAAGAGGTAAGTGGTCAAGGGTGAAGCTGTGAGAGGTCAAGGGTGAAGAGGTGAGTGGTCAAGGGTGAAGATGTAAGTGGTGAAGAGGTAAGTGGTGAAGGGTAAAGAGATAAGTGGTCAAGGATGAAGAGGTAAGTGGTCAAGAGTGAAGAGGTAAGTGATCAAGAGTGAAGCTGTGAGAGGTCAAGGGTGAAGAGGTAAGTGGTCAAGTCTGAAGAAGTAAGTGGTCAAGAGTAAAGAGGTAAGTGGTCAAGGATGAAGATGTGAGAGGTCAAGGATGAAGAGGTAAGTGGTCAAGGCTGAAGAGGTAAGTGGTCAAGGGTGAAGAGGTAAATGGTCAAGTGTGAAGAGGTAAGTGGTCAAGGGTGAAGAGGTAAGTGGTGAAGGGTGAAGATGTGAGAGGTCAAGGGTAAAGAGGTAAGAGGTCAAGGGTGAAGAGGTAAGTGGTCAAGGGTGAAGAGGTAAGTGGTGAAGGGTGAAGATGTGAGAGGGCAAGGGTGAAGTTGTGTGAGACCAATGGGTAAAGATGTAAGAGGAATTTTAACAGTGGTTCAATGTTACAAAGCTGTGAAGTTGAATAAGGGTCACAGACAGAATTGTTCAAGAACTAAGCAAAAATACAAGTCAAACAATTTTCTCACAAGAAACTTGAAAAAAATATATCATTTGACAGACATTGAAACTTGGATACCAATTCTTTTTCAGGCTGCTAAGGCAGAGCCCAAAGGGAAGACACCACAACCTCCCCCCAAGAAAACCCCCAGTAGGGGTCCCTCTGCTACCCCTGGGCCGGGCTCTATAATGGCAGAGAGTCGGGAACGAACAATGACTACACCCACCAGTGCACCCCACAGCCCCATACCTGATGCTGATCCAGTGTTATATCGTAAATACAAGGAGAAACTTTACACTCAGGTATTTTTGTTTATTTTACACTTAGGTATTTTTGCTTATCTTACACTCAGATTTTACACTCAGGCATTTTTGTTTATTTTACACTCAGGTATTTTTGTTTATTTTACACTCAGGCATTTTTGTTTATTTTACACTCAGGTATTTTTGTTTATTTTACATCAGGTATTTTTGTTTATTTTACACTCAGGTATTTTTGTTTATTTTACACTCAGGTGTTTTTGTTTATTTTACACTCAGGTATTTTTGTTTATTTTACACTCAGGTATTTTTGTTTATTTTACACTCAGATTTTACACTCAGGTATTTTTGTTTATTTTACACTCAGGTATTTTTGTTTATTTTACACTCAGGTATTTTTGTTTATTTTACAATCAGGTATTTTTGTTTATTTTACACTCAGATTTTACACTCAGGTGTTTTTGTTTATTTTACAGTTAGGTATTTTTTTGTCTATTTTACTTTCATTTATTGTGTTATAAGAACCTTAATTCTACTGACATTACCAACCTGAAGAAAATATTCCAAAGTATAAGTCATTGCATTGTCATACATATAAAGGTGATTTCCGGTTGTTTGTTTTTCAAATTTTCATCATTTTTTTTGTTTTTTTTTTGCAGACAACACTTATCATGGCGGACACTTTGCAGAGAATGGAGGACGTGTTTGAAGATGTTTTATGTAGTGAAGACAAACCGCCACTCACTTTGTGATTTTTTCTTGGTCTTCTTCTTTTTTTTTTTTTTTAACAAATTTATGTCGAAACATTTTCTAAAGAACTCTGGTTAAGATACTATTTTCTATTCTATATACAACATTGACATATTAGTCTGAAAATCATTACAGGCAGTGTTGATCATAACTCTGGAATTACATGGAATGGAATAGTGAACTTCATCATTTTTCGTATATTCGTAACAGAATCTAAATTATGAATTATATATAATGATGTTTAAGATTTATTAAGATATTGTGATGTTCTCAATGCCGTCCGTCATATACAAATACTTCGACAGAAAAAACTCCTTTTATAATTATAAAAAATCGTATATATATATCTATTAAACAAATTTAATGATATTTATAATTATCAATATATTTATATAATTTTTAAAAAATTCCGTCCTGTTAATGTTATATAACTAAGGGCTATTCAAGTGAAAATTTATTTCCGATAACATTTCACAGATTAAAAAAATCCTTGTGAAGTATTGGAGACTACATAAGGGTGTTGAGAAAAGGGAGTGTTTCGTATGGAATGGTGTGAATTGTTCTGCTGACAAACTCTGAATCCCAAATGGTTTATATCACTGAAATGGTCCTTATTTATTGTGTTTTTTCTGTGAATTTGACTGTGATAATTCTCTAGATACTGAGTTTAATTATCTTAAAATATTTTCAAATTGCATTTTGAATGAAAATGACTCCACACACGAACATTTTCGGAATATGTTTATGTTATTTCTATGGAGATTGTGATAACTCATGTCTGAATTCAATATGCATAAAACTACCAGAAATTAAATTACTTTTTGCAAATGTCATATTTGTTTGTTTGTGCAAAAAGGTAAATGTTTGAGATAGTACACAGGTACAATCATATTCTACATATGAATTATATGCACACCTCATGCTTTTAAACAAAAGGCAAATATGGTAAATACACAACATGGAAGGTCTAAAAACCATACCTGATTGGTCAATATTTTTTAATCTACTGCTTAACTTTCTCGACTCGAATCGTTTGTCACATGCATTTCTGTATCTTCTGACAGATTGAAACAAAGGGCAGTAACTCTGGAAGATCAAATCATATTCTGCTTTCAAAATTTATGTCACTGAAATCGGAACATGTGAAGGTTGTGACCCCAAACTTATAAATAACAGGACATGTAAAGGTTGTCACCTCAGACTTATAAATAACCGACATGTGAAAGTTGTGTCACCTCAGACTTATAAATAACAGGAAATGTGAAGGTTGTGTCACCTCACACTTATAAATAACCGACATGTGAAAGTTGTGTCACCTCACACTTATAAATAACAGGAAATGTGAAGGTTGTGTCACCTCACACTTATAAATAACAGGACATGTGAAGGTTGTGTCACCTCACACTTATAAATAACAGGAAATGTGAAGGTTGTGTCACCTCACACTTATAAATAACAGGACATGTGAAGGTTGTGTCACCTCACACTTATAAATAACAGGAAATGTGAAGGTTGTGTCACCTCACACTTATAAATAACAGGACATGTGAAGGTTGTGTCACCTCAGATTTATAAATAACCGGCATGTGAAGGTTGTGTCACCTCAGACTTATAAATAACAAGGACATGTGAAAGTTGTGTCACCTCACACTTATAAATAACAGGAAATGTGAAGGTTGTGTCACCTCACACTTATAAATAACAGGACATGTGAAGGTTGTGTCACCTCACACTTATAAATAACAGGAAATGTGAAGGTTGTGTCACCTCACACTTATAAATAACAGGACATGTGAAGGTTGTGTCACATCAGACTTATAAATAACAGGACATGTGAAGGTTGTGTCACCTCACACTTATAAATAACAGGAAATGTGAAGGTTGTGTCACCTCACACTTATAAATAACAGGACATGTGAAAGTTGTGTCACATCAGACTTATAAATAACCGGCATGTGAAGGTTGTGTCACCTCACACTTATAAATAACAGGAAATGTGAAGGTTGTGTCACCTCAGACTTATAAATAACAGGAGATGTGAAGGTTGTGTCACCTCACACTTATAAATAACAGGAGATGTGAAGGTTGTGTCACCTCAGACTTATAAATAACAAGGACATGTGAAGGTTGTGTCAACTCAGACTTATAAATAACAGGACATGTGAAGGTTGTGTCACCTCAGACTTATAAATAACAGGAAATGTGAAGGTTGTGTCACCTCACACTTATAAATAACAGGAAATGTGAAGGTTGTGTCACCTCAGACTTATAAATAACAAGACATGTGAAGGTTGTGTCAACTCAGACTTATAAATAACCGACATGTGAAGGTTGTGTCACCTCAGACTTATAAATAACAGGACATGTGAAGGTTGTGTCACCTCACACTTATAAATAACAGGACATGTGAAGGTTGTGTCACCTCACACTTATAAATAACCGACATGTGAAAGTTGTGTCACCTCACACTTATAAATAACAGGAAATGTGAAGGTTGTGTCACCTCACACTTATAAATAACCGACATGTGAAAGTTGTGTCACCTCACACTTATAAATAACAGGAAATGTGAAGGTTGTGTCACCTCAGACTTATAAATAACAGGACATGTGAAGGTTGTGTCACCTCACACTTATAAATAACAGGACATGTGGAGGTTGTGTCACCTCACACTTATAAATAACAGGAAATATGAAGGTTGTGTCACCTCACACTTATAAATAACAGGACATGTGGAGGTTGTGTCACCTCACACTTATAAATAACAGGAAATATGAAGGTTGTGTCACCTCACACTTATAAATAACAGGACATGTGAAGGTTGTGTCACCTCACACTTATAAATAACAGGACATGTGGAGGTTGTGTCACCTCACACTTATAAATAACAGGAAATGTGAAGGTTGGGTCACCTCACACTTATAAATAACAGGACATGTGAAGGTTGTGTCACATCAAACTTATAAATAACAGGACATGTGAAGGTTGTGTCACATCAGACTTATAAATAACAGGACTTGTGAAGGTTGTGTCACCTCACACTTATAAATAACAGGACATGTGAAGGTTGTGTCACCTCACACTTATAAATAACAGGACATGTGAAGGTTGTGTCACCTCACACTTATAAATAACAGGAAATGTGAAGGTTGTGTCACCTCACACTTATAAATAACAGGACATGTGAAGGTTGTGTCACCTCACACTTATAAATAACAGGAAATGTGAAGGTTGTGTCACCTCAGACTTATAAATAACCGACATGTGAAAGTTGTGTCACCTCACACTTATAAATAACAGGAAATGTGAAGGTTGTGTCACCTCAGACTTATAAATAACCGACATGTGAAAGTTGTGTCACATCAGACTTATAAATAACAGGAAATGTGAAGGTTGTGTCACCTCACACTTATAAATAACAGGACATGTGAAGGTTGTGTCACCTCACACTTATAAATAACAGGAAATGTGAAGGTTGTGTCACCTCACACTTATAAGTAACAGGACATGTGAAGGTTGCGCTGCCGTTTACCAGGACGGTTAGTTGGTTGACAGGTTTTCTGTCTCCACGACTCCTCTCGTCTCTGGGTATCGTCTCGTCGACGAACGTCAGTGTTCTGGCGCTGCCGTTTACCAGGACGGTTGGTTGGTTGACAGGTATTCCATCTCCATGACTCCTCTCGTCTCTGGGTATCGTCTCATCGACGAATGTCAGTGTTCTGGCGCCGCCGTTTACCAGGGCGGTTGGTTGGTTGACAGGTTTTCTGTCTCCACAACTCCTCTCGTCTCTGAGTATCGTCTCGTCGACGAACGTCAGTGTTCTGGCGCTGCCGTTTACCAGGACGGTTGGTTGGTTGACAGGTATTCCATCTCCGCGACTCCTCTAGTCTCTGGGTATTGTCTCATAGACGACCATCAGTGTTCTGGCGACACCGTTCAGCAGGGCGATGTTCCGTTCACCTTATCGACTATATACAAGTTCAGAAAGGTTGGTGATATTCTATACCTTACAAGCGTTTACAGTCCATTTTGTAGTCGCCAGCATGATGCCGTCGATGTAGTTTTCATAGGGATGAGTGCACTGACAGAATATTGGGAAAAAAACGGTGCCCAGAGATAATTACACACCTGTACCAACCCATTTTGACAAGTCACGAGGACAGCGTTTGATCACCGTTATTACGAATGTCAATATCTACATGAAAAAAAAATCACAATAAAAACAGCTTCTTTACAGTAAAACGTACATCTGTTCTTCACAGAGTAGAGAAGAACAGACTTCGTTAAATCAATGTTCAGACGCAGAGATCCAAGTTTTATCATATCGAATGCAACTTCTGATCGCAGTGGAAAAAACCTGTATAAGCGATGATCCCTTTCAATGCAATTCCATCTAGTTTCAGAGAGTTCCAGAGTTCACAACTAAAGGGTTTTTTAAATTACAACTTAATACCCTTTCAATGCAATTCCATCTAGTTTCAGACAGTGAGATTCTGAGCTCACAACCAAAGGGGTTATTTCTATTACAACTTAATACCCTTTCAATGCAATTCCATCTAGTTTCAGACAGTGAGATTCTGAGCTCATAACTAAAGGGGTTATTTCAATTACAACTTAATACCCTTTCAATGCAATTCCATCTAGTTTCAGACAGTGAGATTCTGAGCTCACAACTAAAGGGGTTATTTCAATTACAACTTAACATCTGACAAGGGTTTTCACATTCCAGTGCCAAAACAATGAAACAAAGCAAAGCATTGATCACAAAGGAGATTGTGAACAAACTTAATGTCATCTGGACAACCTGGTTTGAACTTGTTCCAAAAGATACCGACATGTATCAGTGACAGCTCCCTGACCGAGATTCAAGCTTGGCGTGATCTTCCAATAGACACTTTTGCTTTCATTAAAAATAAATACGGTTGATTTGAAAGAGTTGTAATTGAAGCGACACTTACAACTGTTTTTTGTAGTAAATGCCAATAGAGTGCCCAAGCCATGTTTACAAAGAGAGTGAAGGGCAATGTCATTAGTTTGTGTCGGAAAGGAAACATGAATTAGTAACAAGTAGTGTAATAATTCATCCGGTAAGTCATCGATAAAATTGTATAAAGTCAAGGAGAAATATTGCTTCCTTGTCGCACACCTTGGTAAAACTTACACCCAGGGTTTTTCATAATTTTGCTAGTAGTAGGCTGTGTAGTGTAAGTAGGAGGCTGGCCTGCCGTGTACGTGTATTCGTGTACAGAACATTATTACGGAACTGGATTGGTGTAGGCGGCCAAATGATCAAAGTA